GGGTTGTATACCTTTCTCCGCATGATCATTTTCTCTTTGTAGATCCTTTGGGCTTGAAGTACCACAGCAAGTGGCTATAACCGGCCGCGTGGTTGTGGTTAGATGCCTCCTTGAAAATTCGAGGTCTTCTAGCCATTTTATACTACAAATTGTAAGTTGGCTCTTGTTGTGGACTTCGTGTGTCGATTTTTTCTTGCTCCATCTTCGTATCCTCAGGTTACACCCGTATCCGGATGTGTGGGCATGTGTGCAAGCAGTAAATTGCATAAGAAATTAAATAAATAAGTTTAATCAAAATGAAAACAAAATATTAAATAAAATATTCAAACAGACCAACTGGTTTTGTTTGATAGTAACATATCGTAGAAGCCTGTGCCAACATTTTTTAGCATGGCAGAAGTGGCCGAACGGAATGCTTCTATTATTTTCAGCAGCAATTCCTCCAAAGTCGTAGTCCTTGCAAGGGGGTAACCGTGAATGCGAGTCACATATCCCCAAAAAAATAAATCATTAGGGTCCAAGTCAGCAGATTCCGCTGGCCATCCTATGTTGCCATGCGGCTTCTATCTCTTCCTAACATATGTGTGTTTACACACTTCTCGCGCTTCTCTTTCGTACACATTGAACTCAAGCCATCAGCAAATTCGGTTCTCCCCGAATGTGCCACTGTGAAAGTTGCTCAATTAACAACATATTTCACAAATTTGATGAAAAACCTAAGAAAGAGCAAAAATTCGGTAATTACAATGTGAGCAAAATGTTGTTTTTACTGTATGGGAATTTCAATTTGGAAAGTGTGGAAAGTACTTCGCCAGAATAATAAACATGCCTTTCACTACACTCCTGTACAAGGTACGTTATTTTTTTATCACAGTTACAACTGTCTGCAATCGAAACAACTATTCTGTGGACAGATGAGTCATAATTTACCAAGGAAGGGATACTAAATTTGCACAACCTGCATCACGGAGATAATTATCTACAACATTTTCTGCAAAATAAGTTGCCCGAATTGGTAAATGAGGTACCAATTTTCAATGGCGACAGACGAATTGTGTGCTATCATGATGTCTGTCTTGCACACTGGAGGCTAATTGTGCGGGAACATCTAAATGATGTTTTTCCGAATGCGTGGATTGGACGAGATGGTCCTATTCCATGGCCTGCACGCTCCCCAGACCTAACTAAATTGGCTGTCCAACTTTTTGAGAAATTAGCTGCATTGCAAAATAATAAGGGCGGTATTTAAGCAAGGCTGTTGTCTCAAAAATGTTTCGTTGTATTGAAGTCAGACAAAAATAGATTTCTTTGAGATTATAGATGAAGTTTTCCGAAAATATTACTTTTGATCATTATTACGTATATAATGAGTGTGAAGAAGTATCAATATTGCATCAGGGCCAGTCCCTGGATAACTATTTATAAAAGCCTATTATTGTCTATGGATACCACAGTGAAGGCCTGAACCAGTTACTATAGTGTCATAGTTTCATTGGTTTATTCGGTATTCAGCCGTACTTAGGTAAAAGGTGTACAAATCGAGTTATCAGAAACTTGAGTTCAAAACTTTTTGCGACTAAATAAACAGAGTATTATTACAATAGAACAAACCGATTGAATATTGCAAAATTACATGGTTATGTTGAGAGTCATTTAAATGTGATTTCGGATCATAATTGTAGTCGAGGCGTAAAATAAGTGGCATTCCGACTTGAATTGTCGTAAGTAAAAGAACAGTTGGATGTGATATCCTACTTTGACATTGGAATGGGTTTTTTGGAAAAAACATTCTGTGGTGGTCTGAAAGCTTGAATGTTTGTAGGGTAATGAGGTTTAAAATTTTGTTTAGGTGGTGGTAGTTGCGTGGGACCTGTAGGGAAGGTTTGTTGTGGCTCTAGCCAAGTTTGACTATTTTGGGCTCTAAACTGATTGGGCTTTTGAGAAAAATTAAAATCAAACCTTTGGAAATTTTGATTTGAAGCTTGTACTTTATTCTGAGACTGAGGCTGTTGTCGTTTATATAGGCTCGTTCTTAAGAAATTTTTGTAATCAACTTGCATTTGCAAATTATCATAATCACGACAATATTGAACACAAGAATCAATTGTAGTAGGATTTTGCTGTCTTACATAAGACCTATATGGTTCATTCAAACCAGAGATAAAGGAGCTCAAAGACTGTCTATCATAGTCTCTCAATTTAAAAGCGATATGATCGGGATTATCATGGTATTCTAAATTTGCAAATTCTTTCAGGCTCTGTACCTTAAATTTAATTTCTTGATAAAAGTCTTCATATTTTTGGTTAGGTTTCTGAACTGACGTATATAAGGCGGTGAGAAGAGTTTCTTCATTTCTAGGATCTTTATATTTGGATAATAATAATGATTTTAAATCTGGCCAGGTTCTCGGACTAGTTAGATGCACTAAATCTCTTACTTCGCTTTTCAGCTGAGAAATAACGTATTGGAAAGCATACGAAACAAAAGGTGTATTAACAAATTCTGCAATAAACTTTTCTGAATTATCCAAAAAATAAATTAGATCTCTGTGACCTCCATGATATTCTGGTACCATATATTTAGCTACATTGAATTTAATTTGTAAATCTTGAAGAGACATGGTTGACTGATTAAAATTAAGACGTGAGGGTGTCAAAATAACTTGTCTAACAGGTGTATTTTCGACTACAGATTCAAATTCAGAATCGGACATTAAATATGTGCAATTAAAGTCACTAAATAAGTTTACTTATAGATAACTTTTACGAGTATATATAAATGTAAAGCAATAGAGGGCGAAAAAGTTTCGAGAAATAAATGGAAAAATCACTGAGTACAGCAAAAATTGTAAATGTTGTTTCTTACGCTACACTGGGCACTAGCAGCTTCATTTGGAGAGATCTGAGATACCTCCTTGGGCCAATACAGCTCCTCCTGGTTGACAGCTTGCCTGCCGTGGATCCAGCACCTCGCTCCTGTCAGTTCCTGTCGTTTTCTCAAGTGTCGTTGCCTGCTCCCAAAATACTTAGCAAGTATTTCGGCCTGGTACTTCGATGGTGATGTGCCTGCTCGGTGTAGCCTTCGAAGTTCTTTGTGATCGACGTCAAAACGATTGAAATCGTACCCGAACACACCGGACGATTTTTTGCACTTTTTCGGTCTCGATTGAGCGATACTCGTGAATCAATACCGCCGATTATCGATTCGGTACGCCGATATCCTGTTCGCAGCGCCAATTAAGAATGTGCAAACAACGAACGACTTTTTAAAAAAGCGACTTTATTTAACAGAAGACGAATGAGTACTGGTCACCTTGGTTTACATGCATCTCTTACTTATAACCTACGCTAGAACAAAGGAATTGAAAAGTGCAAACCTAAGCAACTCTACATATTAGATCATCATCATAGCAGTGCCGTAATTTGCGTGGGAAGTGAAAACTACCATGTCCTTCAGATGGCTGTAAATGGATTTGTACTCCGATGTCAATGCAAATAGTATTTTCTTTTGGTTTCGATCTACTCTGTTATTTAACGACAGTAACGACAAATTAGTCTAGTCAGGTACTCAAAAGCGGGATGCGAATGCCGTGGGCAGTTTAATTAAAAGTGGCTGTAGTTGATATGCCTGGCTGTTTCGGACAATGAGTAATGGATTTAGTTGTTGAGCCGACTCTTTCATCTCTTAATATATAAACATGTAAACTATGATGATGCTCTTGAATTGTGCTGAAACATCAGAAAAACGGCGATACTATCCGATTGTCAGTCTATACTAAAAGCATTTTAAAACGTCACAAATAACACAAATCAATCAAATAGTACGGTAACCAAATAAGTTCGTGCGGTTTTTAGTAGAAAAGTATAAATTTTTA